AATCCTCACACACATGTCTAAGTGCAAACCACACTTGAATACCTCTCACTCTAACTAGAATGAAACTTACCAAAAACAACAAAAAACCCATACATTCACAGGCAGTGGCCAATGTAGAAATGCAGAAAAAGAGATTTTATACACTATTGGTAAGAATGTACATTACTATACACACAAAGCGAAACAGTTGAAGGTATCTTAAACATTTTACAACTACCCGTTCACCTAGCAATCCCACCACTGGTTATACACAGAAAGCACATGGAATCTGTTATGTTGAAGAGATATCAGCCTTCTTATGGTGAGTGAAGCACTATGCACAATAGCGAAGGTATCCAATCAACCTACCTGTTCATGCACAGATAAAAGGATAAAGAGACTGCAGTACACAATGGCATCCTCTTCGGCCATAGAAATTCATGAAACCATGTCATCTGCAGCAACGTACAGAAACCTGGAGGACATGACTTTCAATGAAATAAGCCAGGAAGAGAAAGACAAACGCGGCATGATTTCATGCATGTGAGAATGAGATCAACTTTCTCTCTAAACGACCTTATCTCCTAGATATAGAAAGTTCCACAGTGGTGAAGAGAGGCTGGGGGTTGGGGAGTTGGGGCAGGAACTGGGAAATGGATACAATGTTATACTCAGATGACAGGAATAAATTCAGCTGTTCTATTCCACAGTAGGATGTCTAGAGTTAACCGTATCCTACCATATTTTCCAAAAAAGTCTAAAAAGAAGGATTCTGAACATTGCAACCACAGAGAACTAATAAATAATAACTACACAAGGTAATAGAGAAAGTCAATGCCTTGCTTTCATCATTACACAAGGTATATATGCGTGGATCAAAATGTCCCACTCTGCTCTTTAATCGTATACTTTTACTACAGGACAAATTGTTTTTAAGTACATAGAAAGAAACAATGCTGAAGTTCATGTGAGCTGAAGTTCATGCAGGACATTTCCAAAGAAATTCTGAGAAATCCAAACTACATTGGATGCATCACACTCCCTGATGTGAAATTTCACTCAAACTCTAGGGACCTGCTTCCACATGGATGAGTGGAAGAGAACAGAGAACCTGAAGTAAACTCACACACCTCATACCACCTGATTCTAGATGAAATACACAATGATAAGTAATGGGGAAAGAACTCCCTTTTCAACAGTCTTGGGGATAACTGGTGAGCCATATGCAGAAGAGTAAGTAACACTAGGCCTCTACTTCTCACCATGTACCAAAGTTCACTCAGATGAAAGATGTAAATGGAAGACCTCAAAGTACAAAAATCCTACAAGAGACCCTAGGAAATACCCTTCTCGACATTAGCTTTGACAAAGCATTTATATGCCTAAGACCCCACATGACACTGCAACAGCAGCAATAATCGACATCTGGGACCTAATACACTAAAGAGTCACCACACAACACAAGAAATTACCCACAGAGTAGACAGACGACATACAGGATGAGACAAAATGTTCCCAAACTATGCACCTGACCAAGGTCTAATATCCAGAATCTACGTTAAAGACCTTACACAAATCAATTAGCAAAACTCCCCAAATATTCAATTAATAAATAGGCAATGGATATAAACACACGCTTCTCGAAAGATGAAGTACAAGCAACCAACAAAAGTGAAAACATGCTCAACCTAATTGTCAGAGAAATATAAATCAAAAGCACAATGGATATCATCTCATGCTGGTCAGAATGGTGATTACAAAGTTAAAAACAAAAAAGGACACTGGAGAGGCAGCAGAGAAAGGGGACACTGGTCCACTTTTGGTGAAAATGAAAAGTAGTTCAGACACCATGGAAAGCACTTCGGAGACTGCTCAAAGAACTTAAACCAGAATTACCATCTGACTTAGCAATCCCACTACTAGGGTATACACAAAGGAAAATAAATCCTTCTGTCCAAAGCACACATGCACACAAACGGTCATGACGGCACTATTTACAATGGCAAACACGTGAAATCAACCCAGGTACCCATCAACAGTGGATCAGAAAAGGAAAATGTGGTACATACATACCACAAAACACAAGGCAGCCGTAAAAAAAAAACACAAGGAAATCATGTCCTTGGCAGCAACATGAAAGGAGCTGGAGGCCATTATCTAAAGAGAAATAAGGAAAACACAGAACACCAGATGCCACATGTTCTCCCTTCTAAGGTGGAGCTAACACTGAATACACCCGACCGTAAAAGTGAAAACAACAGACACTGCTGACTATCAGATGAAAAAGGAAGAAGGGACGAGGTATGGGCTAAAGACCTACCTGGTGGGTACACCCACTGCCTGCACGATCAGGTTGCTTGGACCCCAAGTCTCAGTGTCATGCAATATACCAAAGGCAGTAACTAATCTGCCTTTGTACCCTTTAGTCTATAATAAACATAGAAATTATGTTAAAAAAATACAAACTTAGAAGCTAAAAACATGAATGAAAAATACAAACTTTTATAATTATGCAAACAATATTTTATTGGCATAAACTAAGAAAGTAGACAGAATGAGTAAACCAAATACTCAACCCCAATTTACATATAGTGAACACATTCTTCAAAAGGACACCAAAAAGATGCAATGGGCAAAAGAGAACCTGTTCAATAGATGATTTTGAGCAAACTGAATATTCACATACAAAACACTGAAATAGGACCCTTATGTCATGAAACACAAAAATCAATACAAAATACATTAAAGACCTAAAACTCATTTCTGAAACCACAAAACTCCTACAAGAAAACATAGGGTGCACATGTATTTTAGAAAAGAAATCCATGCACGTAGGCTGCTAAAGGTATTTAAAATACGTTAAAACAAGGAAACACCCATAGACGATGTAGTAGCTTGGCATTTTCACTGAAAAACTGGGGACCCAGTTCCACAGAACAGTGGAACAGATTAGAAGACCTAGATATAAACCTACACACCTGAAACCATCCGACACTTGAAAAAAATCAACAAAAATAAGAGAAAGGACTCCCTATCAGTAAGTGGTGCTGGGATAAGTGGCTAGCTAGATGTAGAAGAAATAACACTGGGCCCCTATGTCTCACCATGTACAGAAAGCAACTCAAAATGAATCACAGATTGAAATGCAAAACCCTGGGCTGGGCGCGGCAGTTCATGCCTGGAATCCAAGCACTTGGGAGTCAAAGCGGGCAGATGACTTGAATCATTTTATTAGAGACAGGTGAAACCCCGTCTCTAATAAAAAAACAAAAGTTAGCCGGGCATGGTGGCGCGTGCCTGTACGCCCAGCTACTCAGAAGACTGAGGCAGAAGAATCACTTGAACCCGGAAGGGGGCAGTGAGCCGAGATCGCTCCATTGCATTCCAGCCTGTATGACAGAGTGAGACTCGGTCTCTAAATAAATACATAAACACATAAAAATGCAAGACCTGAAATGAAAAAATCCTGCACGAGAATCTAGCAAATACCCTTCTTGACGGAGGCTTTGGCAAAGCATTTATATGTCAAGCCCCCAAAAGCAACGGCAACAAAAGCAATTCCTGACCAGTGGACCTAATGCTCAAAAGAGCTGCTGCACAAGAAACAACCACAGAGTCAGCACACAGCCTATAGAATGAGGGAACATACTCCCCAACTACGCATCTGAAAAACATCTAATATACAGGATTTACTGTAAAGAGCTTAAACAAATAAAATCAGGAAAAAAAAACTCATAAATGGGCAAGAGACATGAACACACACTAAAAGGAGGTGTACCAGTAACCAATGAGAATAAAAACAAGTTCGATCTCACTGATCATCAGAGAAATGCAAATCAGAAACATACTGAGATACCGTCTCACACTGGTCAGAATGGCAATTATGACACACAGTCCACAACAACACAGACTGGTGGGGAGATGAGCAAAGAAATGCAGGTCCACTGTTGGGGGAAATGCAAACTAGTTCAGACCCCCTGGAGAGCAGTGTGGACATTTCTCAAAGAACCTAAAAGAGAATTACCACCCAACGCTGCAACCCCATTCCTGAGGATCTACCCGAAGGAAAATCCTTCCATCCAAAACACGCATGCACTCACGTGTTCACGGCAGTACTACTCACAATGGTAAAGACACGGAATCAGCCTTGGTGCCAATCAGCAGTGGATCAGAGAAAGGAAATGTGGTACATACACACCACGGAACACTACACAGCCATAAAAAACAAATCCATGCCCTTACCAGAAACCTGGACAGAGCTGTAGGCCATTATGAACAAAAAAGGCAAGAACAGAAAACCAAAATTTTCAAAACAGCTACAAAGGTCAGTTGTGAACATTCTCTCCACAGAGAAATCATAAGTCTGGAGCTCACAGAGATGCCAGACATTGCGACTTCATTATGATGCTACGTTTACATAGATCAAAATGTCCCTTGCACCCGCTGGTTATACACACATACTCTACCGCAATGAAATTGCTATCCCATTTTGGTAACATTCATTGTCACCAGAATGAGATGACATCTGAGTGTGATTTTGATTGACTTCTCATGAGGATCAGTAACGTTGATTCAGAATCTTTTACCTGTGCATCCATCTCAGGTCTTCAGGTCCTTTGCCCAGTCTTACATGTCACATTGAAACAAGTTCACAATAACTTGGCAAACAACACTAACCACAAGCAAAATGTAAATCAAAACCACACTTAGACACCATCTTATTTTTTGTAACCAAAAAAAAGACAAAAGAACATTGAAAGAAAGGCAAATGCTGGTGTGTGTTCCCAGAGAGAGAGAGAGACACTCTTCTCCACAGTTCGTGAGAAAGTAAAGTAGTACACACACTACAGAAACCACTTGGAGGTTCCTCCAAACCTTAAGACTCCAACTACCACTTCAACTAGCAATTCTACTGCTAGGAACACACTCAAAGCCATTGAAATCAGGACACCAAAGATAGATCTACCCACCCATGTGGATTCCAGCACTGTTCCCAAGAGCCAGTGTAAGCATCAACTTACCTGCTTATCCACAGACAAAGAGAGAAAGAAGCTGCTCCACATGTACACACCGGGATACTCTTCACACAGAAAAGCACAATGAAATCATATCATGGGGAACCACACGGTTGCACCTGGAGAACATGAGGGTAAATTAAATGAGTGAGGGGGAGAGAAACAAACCTTGAGTCATCTCACACATGCAGAATCTGAGAAACTGTATCTCAAAGACCTGGCGAGCACAATATTGGTTTCCAGGGATTGGGAGAAAAGAGGGGTAATGAGCAGGGATTGTAAAAGGGTACAAAGTTACACATAAATGAGAGGAGGAAAACTCTGTTGTTTTATTCCAGTGCAGGGTGACCAGGTTTAACAGTATCGGCACATCACTTTCAAAGCAGCTTGACAGGAGAATACTGAAGGTTCTCACCATAAAGGAATAAACAATGGGAAAAGGTAACAGAAACACTAAGTACCCTGATTTCATCATTCCACAATGTATGCATGGACCAAAACGCCCCACTCCATCCTCTCATTGTATTGTTCTTTTACTATACAACACATGTGTTGAAAGAAATAGAAATACACGCTGCTAATATTTATGTGGGACCATAAAGTGCCCTGAGTTTCATCCTCAGCAATCCTGAGACATCCAGGCTATGTCGGATACATTACTCCCTGATTTCAAATTTCAGGGAAAAGCCAGGGACCCGCTTCCACACAGAGCAGTAGAACGCAAGAGACGACCAAGAAGTAAAACCACACACTGAAAACTATCTGATCTAACACAGAATCCACACATGTAAGCAAAAGGAGAAGGACACCCTATTCAATCAATGGTGCTGAAATAAGCAGCTAGCCATGTGCAGAATAACAACACTGGGCCCCTACCTCACACCAGACACAAAGAGGAACTCAAGATGAATGAAAGATTTAAATGTAAAAACTCAAACTATTAAAATCTTATAAGAAAACTTGTAAAATATCCTTTTCCACATAGGCTTTGGCAAAGCATTTAGATGGCTAAGTCCTGAAAAGCAACGGCAACAAAAACAAAAACTGACAAGTCAGACTTAACACCTGAAAGAGCTGCTGCACAGCAAGAGAGACTAAAATAGAGTAAACAGACAGCGTACAGAATGGGAGAACACGTTCCCAAACTGTGCATCTGACCAAAGTCTAATATGCAGAATCCACAAGGCCCTTCAACAAGTCAACCAGAGGAATAAACAGAAAAAGAATATCCCATTAATAAACGGGCCAGGGATGTGAACACACACTCCTCAAAAGTCAATAAGCAACCAACAAATAGGAAAACATGCTGAAACTCACTCATTACCAGAGAGCTGCCAATCAAAAGCATGACGAGATGCCATCCCACGCAGGTCACAATGGTGAGGACCACGCAGGCAGAGAATACATGCTGGCGAGGCAGTCGAGGAAAGGAAATGCTGGTACACTTTTGCAGGGGATAAAAACTAGTACAGACACCGTTGAAAGTAGATCGGGGATTTCTCAAAGAGCTGAAAACAGAACTACACTCTCACCCAGTAAGCCCACTCCTGTGCATCTACCCAAAGGAAAATCAATCCGTCTATCTGAAAGACACAGGCACTCGTATGTTCATGGCAGTGTTATTCACAATGTCAAAGACATGGAATCAACCTAGCCATCAATAGTAGATGAGAGGCAGGCACAGTGGCTCACACCTGTAATTCTAGCACTTTGGGAGGCCAAGGCAGGTGGATGGCTTGAGTCCAGAATTTGAGACCAGCCTGAGCAAAATGATGAAATCCCATCTCTACAATAATAAAAAAAGTAGCTGGATGTGGTGGCGGGCACCTGTAGTCCTATCTAATCCAGAGGCTGAGGTGGGAAGATCACCTGAGCCCAGAAGATGGAAACTATAGGCCATTGTCATAAGTGAACTAAGGCCCAAATAGAAACCAAACACCACATGTTCTCACTTGTAAGTGGGAGCTAAACTTTGAATGGACTTAAATATAAAGAAGAGAACAACAGACACCTGGAATGACCACCAGACCAATCAAAAAAAACTAGGGAGGGGGAGCGTGTGCTGAAGACCCACCCTGTGGGCCCTCTGCTCACTGCCTGTGTTACGGGGTTGCTGGCACCCCAAGACTCAGCGTCATGCAATCAAGAGATGTAACTAACTTGATTATGTATGGTTTAAACTATAATAATGAGAGCAGAAAGCATTAAAAGAAAAATCCAAGGTTAGGGCACTGTGGCTCATGCCTCTAATCCCAGCACTTTGGGAGGCCAAGATGGGCAGATCACAAGGTCAAGAGTTCACGAGCACCCTGGCCAATATGGTGAAACCTCATCTCTACTAAAAATACAAAAACTAGCCTGGCGTGGTGGCGGGTGCCTGTAGTCCCAGCTACTTAGGAGGCTGAGGCAAGAGAATCGCTTGAACCCGGGAGGCACAGGTTGCAGTGAGCCAAGATCGCACCACTGCACTCCAGCCTGGCCCACAGAGCAAGACTCTGTCTCAAAAAAAAAAAGAAAAGAAAAGAAAAAGAAAAATCCAAGGTTAGAAGCAAAGAAAATAATAAGTGAAAATAGCATCTGCAGTTATCCAAACAATCCATGACTGTCACAAACACAGAACGAGAACCTAAGGGACAGAATGAGATAGCCAGATACTCAACCCAACATGATATGTAGGGAACACATTTTTCAAAACCCCAAACAGACACAGTGGCAAAGGGAGAGTCTGGTTCAATCAATGATTTTATCCACAGGCAAAACACTGAAATAGGACCCCTACATTTCACAATACACTAAATCAACACAAAATGAATTAAAGACCTAAACTCAATCTTGAAACTGTAAAAGTCCTATAAGAAAACATAGAGTGGGCATATATTTTAGGAAACCTGTGTCTTTGCACACATGCTGCAAAAGGTAAAAAAGCCTCATAACATTTAAAAAAAAAAAAAAAGTGGCCAGGCGAGGTGGCTCAGGCCTGTAATCCCAGTACTTTGGGAGGCCAAGGCAAGGCGGATCACCTGAGGTCAGGAGTTTGAGACCGGTCAGGAGTTTGAGACCGGTCAGGAGTTTGAGACCAGCCTGGCCAATATGGTGAAACCACGTCTCTACTAAAAGTACAAAAATTAGCCAGGCATGGTAGGAGCCGCCTGGAATCCCAGATACTTGGGAGGCTGAGGCAGGAGAATCGCTTGAACCCAGGAGGCAGAGGTTGCAGTGAGACGAGATCGTGCCATTGCACTCCAGCCCGAGAGACAAGAGCACAACTTCATCTCAAAAAAAAAAGGCTGGGAGCAGTGGCTCATGCCTGTAATCCCAGCACTTTGGGAGGCCAAAGCAGGCAGATCACGAGGACAGGAGATCGAGACCATCCTGGCTAACACAGTGAAACTCTGTCTCTACTAAAAATACAAAAAAACAAAACAACAACAACAACAAAAAAAAAACGGTAGGGAAACTACACCCACAGACAATGCAAGGCTTGGCTGTGTGTGTGCGTGTTTGTGTGTGTTTTGTATAAGTGGAGTGTTGAACACAAAAATCACTGCTAACATATGAAACTATAACCATGTGAGATTAGGGATACTTTACAACTTCTACAGGGAAAACAATGAAACAAACAAAAAAAGGCATCCTAAAGACTGGGAGAATACACAAATATAAACTCAAAATACATTAAACCCTAAACACAAGACTCAAAAGCATAAAACTGCTACAGGAAAACACAGAGTGAGCTTAAGTTCTGGAAAACCTGAATCTAACCTGGCAGGTTGTAAAAGAAAACAATAGGAAAAAATAAAAACAGAAAAAAAACCACTTCCAATAATAGAAGTCAAAAATTCTAGTTTTTTGTTATTGACCTTACCTTACAAAAATAATCACTGCTGACTGGGGACGGTGGCTCACACCTGTAATTCCAGCATCTTGGGAGGCCAAGGTGGGTAGATCACTTGAGGTCAGGAGCATGGTGAAACTGTGTCTCCACTAAAAATACAAAAATTAGCCAGGAGTGGTGGCGCACACCTGTAGTCCCAGCTACTGAGGAAGCTGAGACAAAGAATCGCTTGAACCCGGAAGGTGGAGGTTGCAGTGAGCCAAGATTGTGCCACCCCACTCCAGCCTGGGCAACAGAGCAAAACTCCCCCCCAAAAAAGGAAAAATAAAAATAAAAAATTACCACTAACTAAAATAATAATCAAGAAATAAAGACACAAAAAATCTGAAGAAATTCTGCACAGTAAAGAAAACAACGCACCAACCAACACTCAGAAGACATTCTTCAAACAGAAAGGACATTACAATAAATCCTGCATCTAAAAGCAGTTGTTACCTGACATTTGGAAGAAACTAACACCCTACTGAGAAACAACACACCCAAAACCAAGTAACCCAGCCAAAACTGGGCAACAAACCTGAACAGACGTTACTGAAGAGACAATATGCAATTCACTAACAGGTTAAAAAAAAAAAAAAAAAAAGAAAGATGGTTCTCAACATTGCTAATCATCTCTAAACTGTAAATGAAAATCACACTCAGATACAAACTCACTCTAATTCAGACAAAAAAGAGAAACCAATTATTTCAAACAAATACCCCAGGGGGAGCTGCATACACAGATACTCTTACACACTGTTGGGAGAAATCACTGTTACCATAGGCACTACAAAACCTCTGGGAGCTTCCCAAACAATCACAAAGCTAGCTACCATTTCATCTAGCAATTCCAACAGTGTGTATGTGCATGCATGGTGAAACTGTCTCTCTACTAAAAATATAAAATACTTAGGGACAGTGAAATTACTATATGGAAGCCATAGCTGCCTTCCCAGGTTGAAGGAAGCACTATTCACAATAGCCAAGATATGCAATCAACCTACCCGTCCATCAACTGACGAAGACATGAAGTAGCATCGGCATACAGACACAATGAAATGCGCCCCATGAACAAAAACTGATGACATAACATTATTTGCGGCAACACGGATGGACCTGGAAGACATTATGTCCAATGGAATCAGCCATGCAGAGAAATACAAACACTGCATCATCTCACCCAAGTGGAAGCTAAAAAAGAATTATCTAAGTGAAATGAAGGTACAGTGGTGGTTATCAGAGGCTGTGGGGAGGAGAGGGCATGGGCTGGCAATGGTAATGGGTACCAAGTTGCACTTCCAGGGCAGGAACCAATGCTGGTGATCTACTCCACAGGGGGGTGACTACAAGTAACAATATGGTAGCCTGTTTTTCAATAGAGCTAGAAAGGAGCAGAACACTGCAGGTTCACACTACAAACAAATGAAAACTAGACATGGGAAAAGACATGCAAAACATGCAGATCTCATCATTCCTCAAGGATATACATGTAGGAAAATAACCTGCTGTACTCCCTAATTTTGGACATGTATTACAAACTTAATTTTAAAACTATAAATGAACAATGCTAAAATTCACAGAACCATGGAAGACCCTGAAAATCCAAAAGCAATTCCCAGAAATAGGAACTCATTTGAAGGCTTCACCCTCCTCGATGTCAAATTACACTGAAGAGCTATACTTATTCAAGCTCAAGGAACTGGCATAAAAAGAGAAACATACGCCATTGCACAGTATTAGGCATCCAAGCAACAAAAATACATGTACTTATAGTCAACAGATTTCTAAAAAGAACCTCGAATAAAATGCGAAATGACTAGTTCATTCTGTCAATGGCTTTGAGGAAATGGGAAATCCACACACAAAAGAATTAAATGAAACCTTGTTTTCCATGACACACAGAAATCCATGCAAAATCACTTCCACAAACAAACACAAGACCTGCAAGCTTAAAATTTGAGAAAACTGAAGGTGAGCATTAGCTTAGCGAAACCTGAACCTATCATCACAGGTGGCTAAGAGAAAGGAAGATTAAGAAAATCAAAAAAATATACTCACTGCCAAGGGAAAGAAACAGAAATTAGTATTTCTCTTGAGTAAACACAAAACCACTGCCAACAAAAGAAGCATGTAACAGACCCAAAATGAAGAGCTTCTTCACTGGAATAGAAAGAAAAAAAAACAAGTGAAACAGCAGGCATAGTACACACTGGAAGAAACTGGTAAGTAATTACATATCAGAGGGAGGTTTGTATTGAACATTTACCAGAAACTAACACTACTATCAATGAAAACACATACAACCAATGAAAATTGGGCAAGGAACCTGAGTAACACAACAAAAACCTGGCAGGAAACCTGCGTAGTCACTTTGGATAAGTACACATGAAATGAGTTAACAGGTACAAGAGCCGGGTGCAGGGGCTCACGCCTGGATTCCAAGTACATTGATAGGCTGATTAAGGCAGATCACCTGAAGTCAGGGATTCGAGACTAGCCTGGCCAACGGAGTGAAACCCCATCTCTACTAAAAATACAAAAATTACCCGGGTATGGGGGCACACACCTCTACTCCCAGCTACTCAGGAGGCTGAGGAGGAAGAATCACTTGAACACAGGAGATGGAGGTTGCAGTGAGCTGAGATGGCGTCACTGCACTCCAGCTTGGGCAACAAGAGAGAAACTGTCTCCACAAAACAAAAACAAAAAAACAGGTAAAAGAATGGGTTTCTCAACATCACTGTTTGAGATCAACTCATTTCAAACATGTAAATGAAAACCACACTCAGCCACCATCTCAATCCAACTGATATGAATATTGCCAAAAAGAAAGACTGTGTTTGAAATAAGGCAAAGGCTGGTGAGAAGGCAAAGAAAGGGATAATCTTACACACTACTGGGTGGAACTTTAATTAGGATGTGATCTAGGAAAAACACTGGAAGGTCCCTGAACAAATTAAACATGCGCCTAACATGTAATGTCATCATCCCACCCATGGTTATCCATGGAAAGCAAATGAAATTCATATGCTGGAGACAAAGCTTCCTTCCCCTCTTTCTTGACACACTGCTGACAATAGCCAAAGGAAGGAATCAACCTACCTGTCCATCCACAGATGAAGGGATGAAGAATTTCCAGGACACAGGCACAATGAAATACTTTTCAGCCATCAAAATTCAGGGCATTTTCTCTTTCCCGCAACACGGCTGCACCTGCAAGATACTATGTTCAATCAAATCAGAAAGGCAAAGAAAAGAGAAGGATCAACCCTGCACGTTCTCACTCATGTGGGAGCTGAAAAATTTAACTCACTGAAGGTGGAAATACAGTAGTGGTCACCACAGGCTGGGTAGAGGAGAGGACATGGGCAAGGACTGGCAATAAGTATGCAGAGAGTTAAAGGAGAGGAATACGTTCTGGTATTCTACTCCACAGCAGGGAGACTGTGTGTAACAATATGGTTGTGTCTTTCTCAAAATAGCTACCAAGGAGATACCGATGTTCACACCTCAAAGATATAAGACCTATACATGGTCACAGGCACAAGAAATTTCTTGATTCTATCCTTATGCGAGATACACAAGTATCAAAATGTCCCACTTCACTGCTAATTCTGGACATGTGGTATGAACCACACGTTTCACAAAATGTTAACTATACACAGCTAAAAATTCACACGGAACCACCAAAGACCCTGAATATGCAAAGCAATCATAGGAAATACAAACTAGTTTGGAGGCCTTACACTCTTCATCTTCAAATTACAGGTAAAAACTCTACTTATCCAAAGACTACGGCAGTGGCATAAAAAGAAACCATGCACCTATGGACATAACAGTACCTAAACGTACGCCTGTATGCAGTCAACACATTTTTCTCAAAAGAACGCCCATAAGATGCAATGAGGTCGGGTGCTGTGGCTCACAAATTAAAACCTAAACACATGACCCCAAAGCATCAAATGCCTACAGGAAAACAGAGTGAGCTTAAGTTTCAAAAAACCTGAATCAATGTTAAATAGTGAGAAAAACAACAGAAGGAAAACACTTCCAATAATAGAAGTCAAAAATTCTTGTTTTTATTATTGACTATATCTTACAAGAATGCTTACTGTTAACTAAAATAATAATCAATCAGTAAAAAAAAAAAAACCTGAAGAAATACTGCACAGTAAAGAAAACAATGCACCAACCAACACTCAGAAGGCATTCTTCAGATAGAAAGGACATTACAAGGAATCAAGTATCTGAAAGGGATTATCTGACATTCAGAAGAAACTAACACGCCACTGAGGAACAAAACAAAACCAAGGAACCCAGCCAAAACTGGACAACAAACCTGAACAGACATCACTGAAAAGACAATGTGCAATTCACTAACATATAAAAACGGTGGTTCTCAACATTACTAGTCATCTCTAAACTGTAACTGAAAATCACACTCAGGTACAGACTCACTCTAATTTGAAAAAAAGAAACCAATTATTTCAAACAAATTCCCCAGAGGGAGGTGCATACAAAGATACTCTCATGCACTATTGGGCGAAATCACTGTTACTATAGGCACTACGAAAACCTCTTGGAGCTTCCCAAACAATAAAAAAGAAAACTACCATTTCATCTGGCAATTCCAGCAGTGGGTATATACTTAGGGACAGTGAAATCACTGCATGGAAGGAAGCCATAGCTGCCTTCCCAGGTTGACCGAAGCATTACACACAACAGCCAAGATAAGCAATCAACCTACCTGTCCATCAACTGATGAAGGGATGAAGGAACTTCAGCATACAGACACAACAAAATACACCCCATCAACAAATATTGATGACATAACATCCTTTGTGGCAACACGGATAAACCTGGAAGACATTATATTTAGTGGAATCAGCCAGGCAGAGAAAGACAAACACTGCATCATCTCACCCATGAGGAGACTAAAAAAGAATTATCTAATGGAAAGTGAAAGTACAATAGTGGTTATCAGATGCTGGGGGGAGGAGAGAGCATGGGCTGGCATTGGTAATAGGTACCAAGTTGCATTTCCAGGGGAGGAATTAATGCTGGTGATCTACTCCACAGGAGGGTGACTACAAGTAACAATATGGTAGGATCTCTTTCAATAGAGCTAGAAAGGAGAGGAACACTGAAGGTTCACACCGCAAACAAATAAAAACTAGACATGGGAATAGATACGCAAAACACCCTGACTTCATCATTCCTTGAAGTACGCAAGTAAAAAAAATCCCACTGTACCCCCTAATTTTGGACATGTATGACAAACCCAATTTTAAAACTATAAATGAACAATGGCAAAATTCACAGAGAACCATGGAAGACCCGGAAAATCCAAAGCACTTCCCAGAAATAGAAACTCACTTGAATGCCTCATGCTCCTCAATGTCAAACGACATTGAAAAGCTATACTTACTAAGGCAGCAAGGAACTGGCATAAAAATAAGAAACATATGCCACTGGACAATATCAGCCAGCCAACAGACAAATCTGAATGTACTTACAGTCAATAGACTTCTCAAAAGGCTGGGCATGGTGGCTCACGCCTGTAATCCCAACATTTTGGGAAGCCACAGCAGGCTGACCACTTGAGGTCAGGAGTTTGAGACCAGTCTGGCCAACACGGTGAAGCCCCATCTCTAATAAAATAAAAATACAAAAATTAGCCAGCATGGTGGTGTGTGCCTATAATCCCAGCTACTCGGGGGCTAAGGCGGGAGAATTGCTTGGATCCTGGGGGTGGAGGTTGCAGTGAGCTGAGATCACACCACTTCCACTTCACTCTAGCCTGGGCAAAAGAGCAAAACTCCATCTCAAAAAAAAAAAAAAAGAATCCCAAACAAATAAACTGGGAAACAGCTAGTCCATTCTGTAAATGATTTTGAAAAAACTGGAAACTCACAAAACATGGAAACCTCAAGTTTATCCTTTATCCTTATGTAAGGTACACTAGTACCGCAATGTCCCCATTGTACCCCTAATTCTGGACATGCAGTATGAACCAAACTTGTCATGAAATGTAACTACGCACAACTAAAAATTCACATGGAACTACCATAGACTCCAAATATGCAAAGCAATCCTAGGAAATACAACCTCGTTTGGAGGCCTCACACTGTTCAATTTCAAATTACATGGAAAAGATCTACTCACCCAAAGACTATGGTAAAGACATAACAGTGAAACCATGCGGACATAACAGAACCTAAACATATGCCTGTATGGAGTCAACACATGTTTTTCAAAAGAAAGCCTGGAAGACGCAATGAGGAGTGGGATGTCTGTTCAATTAGTGAACCTGAAAATACTGGATATTCACATGAAAAAGGACGAAATAGGACCCTTATGTTACACAATACACAAATACCACAAGACCCAAAAGCATAAAATTTCTACAGGAAAACACAGAGTGAGTGGAAGTTCAGGGCAACTTAATCTATGCTCAAAGGTTGCAAAAACAAAAAGTAGTTAGGAAATATATGGAAAATACACTCAAAATCAATGAAATGCATCAAAATTGTGATTTTCTTTCTGGCCTGACCCAAAATCGTTGCTAACAAAAGGAAAACTCAACATGTGAAAAAGAAAACTTAAGAACTACGGCATGGTAAAGGGAGCAATGAACCAATCAACAATGAGAAGGCATTCTTCATATAGGGAGGGCATGATGAGGAATCATTTATCTGAAAGAGGTTGTTACATGGTATGCACGAGAAACTAATGCTACTAAGAAGTGAAACATGCAAAACCAAGTAACCCAGCCAAAGCTGGACAATGCACCTGAAGAGACATGTCTCAAAAGTCCCAGCTACTGGATAAGCTGACGTGGGAGAATCACCTGAGCCACAGGAGGTCATGGATGCAGTGAGCCAAGATCGCACCACTGAACTCCAGCTTGAGCAACCAGAGCCAGACACTATCTCTAAATAAATAAATAAGTAAAATAAAAGAGAAGAAATAACTATGCAGTAAAAGATAAACCACATCGACTCACCCAGGAGCAACCTAAAAAACTTTATCTCTTAGAACCAGTAAGCATAACTGTTCTTACCACAGTTTAGGGTTCAAAGGTGGGGCACGGTCAGGGATTGGAAATGGGTACAAAGTTACATATTCCATGAAAGGAATGAAACCTGTAGTTCTATTCCACAGCAGCAGAGTCACTAGGTTTAACATTATTAGAGTGTAGTTTTCAAGAAAACTAGAAAAGAGGATTCTGAATGTCTTCACCTCAAAGGAATAATAACTCTGTGAGGCAAGAGAGATGTTAAACACCTGATTTCATCATTACACAATGTACGCACGGACCAAAGTGTCTCATTCTACTCTCTGGTAGTACACTTTTACCATAGGGTAAATTTTTGTAAAGAAATTTAAGGAAACAGGCTCAGCATGGTGGCTCACGCCTGCAATCTCAGCACTTTTGGAGGCTGAGGCAGCCACACAGCTTGAGGCCAAGAGTTCAAGACCAGCCTGGCCAAACATGGTAAAACCCCATCTCTACTAAATATATAAAAATTAGCTGGGCGTCTTGGCACACGCCTGTAATCCCAGGTACTTGGGAGGCTGAGGCAGGAGAATCACTTGAACTCGGGAGGCAGAGTTGCAGTGAGCCAAGATCACGCCACTGCACTCTAGTCTGGGCAACAAAGCAAAACACTGTCTCATAAAATAAAAAAATAAAAATAAATTTAAAAAAAAAAAGAAGATGATGTTCAAGTGACCAACTGACATGAAAAAATGCACAATGTCACTAATCATCAGTGAAATGCAACTCCCAAACACAATGAGATACCATCTCACGCTGGTTAGAATGGGCATTTTTCCAAAGTCAAAACAACATGCTGGGAGGCAGCAAAGGAAAGCGAACGCTGCTACACTCTTGGTCAACGTGAAAACTAGTTCACACCATGGAAACCACTTTAGAGATTCTCAAAGAACTTAAAACAGAACTACCATCAGACTCAGCAATTCCACTACACTTGGTATCTACCCAAAAAACAATAAATCCTTCTTCAAAAAGACACATGTTCTCCTGCATTCATGGCCGTGCCGTTCACAAGAACAAAGATGTGGAAGCATCCTAGGTGACCAGCAACAGTGGATCTGACATTTTTTTTTTTTAATGTGGTGCATACAAACCACAAAATACTACACAGCCATAAGAAGAACACACAATTATGTCCTAAGCAGCATGGATAGACCTGGGGATTATTATGTTCAGCAAACCAACGCAAGAACAGAAAACCAAATACTCCATGTTCTCACTTATGAGTAGGAGCCAAACAGTGAATACATTCAAACATAAAGATGGAAACAATAGACACTGGGGACTATCAGATGAAAAAAGGAGGCAGAAAGGGGGTGCAGGCGGAAGAACCACCTCATTGGCACTTTGTACACTGCCTGGGTGACGGGGTCTGAGGCCACAAGCCTCCGTGTCATCAAATGTTCACATGTAACTAACCTGCAATTTAATCAAAATAAGTTGATTATATATATATTTTGAAACAGGGTTGCCCCAGGCACAGTGGCTCCTGCCTGTAATCATGGCACTTTGGAAGGCTGAAGCAGGCAGATCACTTGAGCCCGGGAGCTCGAGAGAAGTATGGGCAATACGGCAAAATCTACCTCTACAAAAAGTACAAAAAAATTAGTGGGGCATGGTGGTGCGCACCTATAGTCCCAGCTACTTGGGAAGTTGATGAGGGAAGATTTGAGCCCCACAGGTCAAGGCTGCAATAAGCCAAGATTGCAGCGCTGAACTCCAGCCTGGGTGACAGAGCGATAACCTGTCTCAAACAAACAAACAAAAAAAAGGATTAGGATGTATTGCAGACAGATAGGTAGATACATGGATGATAGATAAAACAAAACCTACAGTCATCCAAGCAATCACTGACTGGCATAAACATAGAAAGACAACCGAATGGACAAAATGAGGGAGCCAAGTAATCAACCCAAAATTATATTTAGGGCAAACATTTTTCAAAAGCACACCAAAGGCACAACAGTTGAGAAAACTGGGTAGTCATGTGCACGAGATTGAACTAGCAGCCCTATGTTGCCCAATACACAAAAATCTATGAAAAATAAAACAGTTAAATTCAATCCTGAAAGCAAAACACTCCAAGGAGAAAACATGGGATAAGCATATATTTGGGGGAAACTTGACCCTGTGCACACAGGTTGCAAAAAGAAAAAAGAAAAAGAGAAGGAAAAATGAGGGGATAAATACTTGTAGACAATGGCCTAACAATCTCTTTTTCTGGATGGGATACTGAAATCACTGCCAATAAATGCAAATATAAACAAGAGAGACTAAGTACAACATTAGAGCCTCTGCACAGGAGAGAACAAATGAACCCAAAGAGAAAGTATCCTAGGCATTGTAGACCAGGCATGGTGGCTCACAAGGTCAGGAGTTTGAGGCCAGCCTGGCCAACACAGTGAAACCCTGTCTCTAGTAAAAATACAAAAATTAGCTGGGCATGGTTGTGCATGCCTGTTAATCCCAGCTACTCAACAGGCTGAGGCCAGATAATTGCTTGGACCTGGGAGGCAGAGGTGGCAGTGAGCTGAGATCACGCCACTGCACTCTAGCCTAGCAACAGAGGGAGACTCTGTCTCAAAAAAAAAAAAAAAAAAAAAGTGGGCAGGCGCAGTGGCTCACGCCTGTAATCCCAGCACTTCTGGAGGCCGAGGTGGGCGAATCACAAGGTCAGGAGATCTAGACCATCCTGCCCAACATGATGAAACCCTGTCTCTACTAAAATACAAAAAAAAAAAAAAAAAAAAAATTAGTCAGTCATGGTGGTGCACGCCTGTAGTCCCAGTTACTCAGGAGGCTGAGGCAGGGGAATCGCTCGAACCCCAGAGATGGAGGTTGCAGTGAGCCAAGATCACGCCACTGCACTCCAGTCTGACGACAGAGCAACAATCTGTCCAAAAAAAAAAAAAAGGAAAAAAAAGCGTAAATACACAATGCTAATATTAACATGGAACCACAAACAGCCCTGAACATCTAAGGAATCCTGAGAAATACAAACTAAGTTGGAAGACTCACAATTACTGATATCAAATTGCATTGCAAAGCTGTAGGTAGCCAATATTCCAATCTACATGGTCCTGTGATGTGCCACTGTGCTCCAGCTTGGGTGAGAGTGACCTGTCTCAAAAAAGAAAAAGATTGTGAGAAAATAGGAGGGAACCATAGAAGTGATAACTGGTTGTTATCAAACATGTACATAGAAAAAAATATATCACATAGCATTAAAAAATACATATCCAAACTAAAACTGGGCAAAAAACCTGAATAGACATCACTGCAAAAATGACATAAAATGCACAAACACGTAAGAGAAAAGGTCCTCAACATTATTATTCACCAGAAAAGAATGTACTCCAAAACCACATTCAGATACCATCCCACACCTACTGGAATACATGTTACTGAAAATATCTTAAGAATGCTGGTGTGGATTTGGATAAAGGGGAAATCTCATACACTATTGCTGTAAAGATAAATTAGGATATACACTATGGAAAAAAGTTGTAGGCCAAGCGCGGTGGCCCACGCCTGTAATCCCAGCACTTTGGGAGGCTGAGGCAGGCAGACCACCAGGTCAGGAGATCAAGACCATCCTCGTTAACACAGTGAAACCGTCTCTACTAAAAATACAAAAAATTAGCCAAGCATGGTGGCATGCGTCCGTAGTCCCAGCTACCAGGAGGCTGAGGCAGGAAAATCGCTTGAACCCAGGAGGCAGCCTTTGCAGTGAGATGAGATCGCGCCACTGTACTCCAGCCTGGATGACAGAGTGAGACTGTCTCAAAAAAAAGAAAAGAAAAGAAAAGAAAAAAAGTGGTAGATTCCTCAAAAAACTGAAAATGCAACTACCGTATGACCCAGCAATCCCACTACTGGGTATACCTCCAGAGCGAATGAAAACAGTATCAGAGATCACAAAGCCTCAATGGGGATAGGAGATTTTTTCATTAAATGGTTTCAAGAAAACTGATGTTTCTATGAAAAAGAATGAAATAGGACCCTTCTGGTATACAATACACAAAAATCAACTCGAAATGGATTGAAGACCTGAACACAAGACCTGAAATTATACGTTATCATCAAACGCCTGTAAGAAAAAAGGGGGTGGGGGACCTGGTGGAGCACTTAGTTTTGAGGCAACCTGCATCTAGGCTCACAGTTTGGAAACGGGAAAAGAAAAAACGGGGAAAAAAAAGCAGAGGAGTAAAACCTCGTCAAGAATGGAATGGCTTGTGAATATATTTATTTTTTAAATTGGGAAAGCGAATCACAGGTAACAAAAGCAAAAACAACCATGTGGGGCTACATCCAACTGGAAAGCTTCTGTACAGAAAGAGAACAGTGAACCAAATGAAAACCAATCCTACAAATGGGGAGAAAAGTTTGGGGGAAGCATATATCTCCTAAGGGATTGTTACAAAAAATATGCAATACCTTCACAGTGCTCAACAGCAATAACAACAACAAGATCATCAACCCCAAACTGGGCAGGGACCCAGCATAGACATTTCTGCACAGGAGACATAACACTGAGCAGCATGGACAAAAGCAGGTCCTTAGCATCGCCATCACCAGGGACAACTCCCTGTCAGGCTCGCACCTGGGTGTCCGTTCCCCCGGTCAGGTGGTCGTGTCTGGATGGACAGAAGGGGACACAGGCTTCTTTGGGGGCGGGGGATTGGTGGGGGTGAAAGAGTCCTGATGTGTCCCGATGGCGGGAAGGCAAATTTAAAAATTCATCAAATCCTGGAGGCCGCTGGGATCTTTTTTCCTCCGTCTGAGGCCTGGCCAGGAGGCAGCCAAACACCAGGCCTGGCCCCAACTCCCACCTGGGCCGGGCTTCCCCTTCCTCCTGGGGCTTTCCTCTCTCCCCATCTATACGGGACAGGTTCCCTCAGAAAAAGTCCTCAAACCCCAAAAATACCACAGTCTGCTACACTTGCCACCCTCAAAAGTCCTCAGGGAACAAAATTAATGGTAAAATAAATACTAAAATACTATGAGAGAAAGAGGAGAACTAGTGAGAAGGTGAGCATAAAGAGAAAGTTCCAGGAAACAAGCTTCTGTAGTCACCGTGTAGAAAAAAGTACCCTGGAAACGCTGAGCGCACGCAGCTCCCACCTAAGCAGTCAGGGTCACAGACAGCAGCGGTTTCCTCCCCGAGACGAGTCTCCAAGTCATCCCCACGCTGCCGCAGTGCGCCCTCAAGCGGGTCCGGAAGGAACGGGAACCATTCTCCATCTTTCCATTACGGACGCCACGCCACGCACGCCACGAAGCCTCTGCGGTGAGAAAACGCATGCGCACCATGTGGCGCAGAAAAGGCAGTTTCAGCGCCCCCTGCCAGTCACAGGGCACAGTGCAGGATGATCCACCTCATGGTCCGCATCCGCCCAGTCTGCCTAGCTAGGGTAAGGGCGTGTTGTTCGACACCAGGGAGCAGGAACGCCCCAATCTATGTATGTGGACCTCCCCCCGTGAAGTTCTTATTTTCTTTTTGTTTGGGCAGGGTCTCACTCTGTTGCCCAGGATGAAGTGCACTGGTGCAATCACGGTTCACTGCAGCCTCAACCTCCTGGGTGGGAGGTTGTTCGGTGGGAGGGCAGGCAGAGCTGGGGCTGCTGAGAGGCTGGGAGGAGGGGCTGTCAGGGAGGGGAAGGGGGGATGGGGCTGGCAGGGAGGGCACTTAGTGCCATCACCGTTGCCCTAACAGGGCCGGTCAGAGAATAGCTGTGGGGCTCAGTGCAGGAAGCAAATATGGAGCCCCGTGTTCAAAAATGATTAAGGATTTTTTTTTCTTCTTTTAGACGGAGTCTCACTCTGTCTCCCAGGCTAGAGTGCAGTGGCACGATCTCAGCTCACTGCAAGCTCCACCTCCTGAGTTCAAGCGATTCTTCTGCCTCAGCCTCCTGAGTAGCTGAGACCACAGGCACACGCCACCACGCCCAGCTAATTTTTGTATTTTTAGTAGAGATGGAGTTTCACCATGTTGGCCAGGCTGGTCTCGAACTCCTGACCTCAAGTGATCCACCCACCTTCGCCTCCCAAAGTGCTGGGATTACAGGTGTGAGTTATCATGCCTGACCAAAAATGACTGAGGATTTTAAGGCAGCCCCCACAGAGCATTAAACAAGACCCTAGAGCTGGCCCCATCCCTGAAGATTCCGGGCCCATCTGTCTTGGGAATGCACAGATTCCAGGGGCCCAAACCCACCCTTCACCACTCTCTTCCCCTCCCAGCACCACAGGGGTGCACCTGGCCCCTGGGACCTCCCAAGGAGCAGGCTCTCTGTCCAGGATGGAGATGGGGACCCTCCTCACTGCCCTGTGCCCCTCATGGGCTGGACACACCCACCACCCAGGAAGGAAGGTGTAAAGGGCTGGGCACCGCCCTTGTGGAACCAGAGGCTTGGCGGCCCTAGATAGCTCTGGCTGAACCGGCCTTTGGAGGTCTGAGATGAGCCTGCCGGCCGCAGTTACTCAGCTGACGCCCCCTCCCTGCAGGGCCTGGAGTATTGAGCTTCCTAGACTGCACACCTAGCCCCTACCGCACTTCCATCATCTCCAGACATGTGCAGCAAGGGAAGAAACAGGAAGCAGCAACTCTCCCTCCTCCAGTTCCCAGGAACCTTCTCAGCCGACCCCCTAGCACCCTTCCCTGGAGCCTCACCTACAGGAGGATGGACACCTCAGACCCTCCCTTGCACCCAGTGCTGTAGGGAGCAACCTCAGTCCTGAGCCTGGGATGAGTGCCCTCGCCAGCCTGGGATCAGGAGACAGGCTCTCCCTGGCTCAGCATCTGAGTGTCCACTCACAGGACACTCACCTGCAGAGATGCCCTGAACACTTTTGTGGGTTAAAGGACTTTCTCCCCTCTGGAAACAGTCCCTGAGAAGCTGAAGGTCTTTTTTTTTTTTATTTTAATTTATTTATTATTATTATACTTTAAGTTGTAGGGTACATGTGCATAACGTGCAGGTTTGTTACATATGTATACTTGTGCCATGTTGGTGTGCTGCACCCATCAACTCGTCATTTACATCAGGTATAACTCCCAATGCAATCCCTCCCCCCGAAGCTGAAGGTCTTGAGGGCCTCTCACCAAATGTCTTTGGGAGGTGGGAAGACATCAAATGCAGGTGTGGCTTCCCTGGAACAGCTGTGTGTGGGGACTCAGGAGCCAAGTCCCCCAGCGCACACCACTAACGCCTTCAGTAGGGGCCACCCCTCTGGAGCCACAGGTGGCTGCCAACACCCTGTGGTTCCCAGCAGGCACCACCCAGGCAAGAGAGAGAACAGGCCGGGGAACAACAGACTGGCCTGGCCCCAAGTGCTGGGCAGATCAGAGACCAGATGGCCTAAGCTCATGCCCTGGGGCCAGCTCTGACTCCCTGCAAGTGTGGCAAGAGTCCCTTTTGGACACCTTGAGAAGCTGCAGCTGGGAGAGGACCACCCGCCTATCTGGACATCCAGCCGAGGTGGCAGGGCCCAAGTGACAAGTCCCAGGCCACAGCCCTTACCGCCCACCCTGGCTGCAGGGACTCCCAGAAGCCACCAAGGGCCTGGCTTGGCCTTGCCTGTCCACATCTGAGCTTCAGTTTCCTCATCTGCTCAAGAAGGGGAGCAGACTGATTAGACTATGCAAACTCTGAGTGGCAGGATTAGGTGTGACTGGGAGAGCCAAGGCTCCCCAGTGTGGTGGCATCTCTGGAGCCCGAGGTTGGGCCCTGTCTCCCTTCTGGGCCCCCAGCTGGGCTTGAGTGCTTCCTCTCCCCTCCCTCCTTCCTCCCTCCGGAGGGGTCCCCTGCAGAGCTGCCTCAGCCTCAGGGCTCAGCCTGTGTCTGACCCAAACAGCTCCCGCATCCCCGGGAGGATGAGTTGGGAGCACCTCCTTCCTGCAGGAAGATGAGGGCTAGAGATGGAGGTCAATGTCAGGGCCACAGAGTCTGGAATCCTGCCTGGAGCTTAAACAGCCCTGCCTTACCCACTGTGTGCATCCCATCCTCTGCTGCAGCCCCGCCTGGCACACCCTGCATGCAGGGTGGGGGTGGGACCCGGGGTCTGAGCTTTGGCTTCTGGACATACAGCTTATCGCCTGCCAAAGGCCCTACAGCTGGAGGCTCCGGCCTCCTTGCCCTCCCACAGGGTTCCAGGGCCAAGGTCCGGCCCCCTGCTCTGTCCCAGGCCTGCTGGCCAGGAATGTGCTAATGGGGCAGGTTGGGCCCTGCTTGTCCATGCAAGCACTTGTGGACTTTGAAAGGGGACAAGGTGGGGAAGGGCAGGGCAGGGCAGGGCGGGGCAGTGCACAGAGTACAGGGCAAGTGGGGCCAGGCTGGTGGGGAGTGAGCTTGTCTGGCCGCCTTGCCTCGGAGCCACTGCACCGCTGGCTGCAGACAGACTGTACCATGAAGCCAGCCCTCCTGCCCTGGGCCCTGCTGCTGCTGGCGACAGCCCCCGGCCTGGGCCTGGACCCACAAGAGGTATGCCTACCTGCCCTTCTGTGCTCCTGTCTGTCTGTCCATCTGGCTGCAGCCAGGCCTGGGCAGACGCCCCTCTGGGCTCAGCCTCTGTCCATCTGTCAGGCCATCTGTGGCTGTGCTAGGGGTGGTGGGAAGAAATTCTGAGGGTCCATGTCATGGGGCAGTCCATGGGGATGGGAGATCTGAGCCAGGCCCACCCTAAACCCGCTGGGAGCTAGGAGGGAGGTGAGGGAGACCAGCAGAGGCCTCAGCCTGCGTCCCCAGTCCTGACAGGGCGGGATCGCAGAGGGGGAGCCAGGATTGTGGGTCCTCATCAGGGTGGGGCTGAATCCGGGAAAATCTAGGGGAAGCCCCGAATTCTAGAACCAGGACACTGGCCACAGGCCACAGCCCCGAATTCTAGAATCCAGGACACTGGCCACAGGCCACCCCACCCCATTTCCCATTCACCCTCCTGCCACTTATCCACTTGTGAAGCATCTCTCGGCCTCCTTCCCTGACCCCCTGTGCGCCACCACATCCTTTGGCCAGTACATATTTATTGTTGCCTTAAGTGCCAGGCACTGCATTTAGTGGAGGGCCAGCGGGGTGGCCTAGGCTCAGGTCTGCCTCGACTGCCTCTTTTGACGGGGGACGGGAAGGGGCCAGGGACGACGACCCATCCTGTGCAGGTACCTGCCCTAATCCCTCCCCTCCAACCTCTTCCTTCATGCCAGCTCTGAAATATGGCTCTGCCGCAGGTCTCATGGCCCAGGAGATGCCGGGCCCGGCGTCTACAGCCTCCTCATGGTGTGCACCCCCACTTCCCTTTCCCCACTGCTGGGATCCCTGCTTGAATGTCCTCCTCTTCCTAAAAAGGAGGGAGTAGCTTGGCCTTCTGCTCCTGAGGGCGGGCCTTTGGGTCCCAATTGCAGTCCCTGAGAGTGAGAAGGCCAAGTTCAGACCCCACCATTCCCTACTTCAGGCCTCGACTGGATTCTGAGCTTGCGACCCCTACTCCTAATCCAGGGTAAGCAAGAGGGGTTTCGTAGGTTTAGGCTCTAGAAGGTGCACTGTCTCACAGACACTTGGGAGCTGGGCGCAGAGGCCGAGGCCTCGCTACCGTGGCTCCTGAGGACTCTACCTGTGGATAGGAGGACTGGTGGCTGGCTGATAGCCACAGGCGAAGGGGCCTTGACTCTGCAGGCTGAGTAATAAGCGGAGTTTTGCGGTGGAGAGTGAGGGAGGAGAGCAACAAACAAGTTTACGAAGAGATGCGTGAGGGTGAGATCTGGAAGGGTCCTAAGCACAAGAGCTTCTATCCTCATGCGGAGCTCTCTCCGGCACATGGATGAGTTCATGTTCACCTTCCTGTCAGACTGCGCATGGTCAGCTGTCCTAAGCTCCCTAACCTCTGTCCTCTTGGGCCTTTATGGAGATCATTGGATTGACATGGTTAAAGGATGGACAACCATGGGAAATGCCATTAGACAAAAAAGGGTGTGATCTAATACTAAGAGACGGGGTGGGGAGACTCTTGGCAAGGCCTGTCCAGACTTTTGGCCTCTGTGCAGCATTTGTTCCTCCAGGGTATAGGGCAGGAGCTTTCTCTGGGGTGAGGTCTTATGACCCACACTCAGATTAGGGTCTGGCCTTGGGCAGGTGAAAGGGGGGCAGGAGAAGTTTCAAGAGAGAGATTCTGTCTCCCAAGTCCTGCTTCTGAGGCCTAAAGTGCCCCAACGTTATAACAAAAGACTATCACGAGGACTATAGGAGTTATGAGCCGGGAACCATGGATGAAAGCTCAAGTTTGCTCATGTGGTCCTGTCAGCTGGCAGGTGAGCTTCTCCCCTTCCTCTTCAGGACACCCCAAGCTCTGCATGAGCAGAGGGATGAGGCTCCAGTTAGTAGCCATCAGAAGATTTCATCTGGGCTGGCTGTGGTGGCTCACGCTTGTAATCACAGCACTTTGGGAGGCCAGGGCGGGCGGATGATGAGGTCAGGAGTTCAAGACCAGCCTGGCCAACACAGTGAAACCCCGTCTCTACTAAATATATAAAAATTAGCTGGGCTGGGCGGTGGTGGGTCCCTGTAATCCCAGCTACTTGGGAGGCTGAGGCAGGAGAATCGCTTGAACCCGGGAGGTGGAGGTTACGGTGAGCCAAGATTATGCCAGTGCACTCCAGCCCATGCGACAGAGCTAGACGATCTCAAAAAAAAAAAAAAAAAAGAAGAAGAATATTTTATCTGTCCTTCAAAGCCTGTCTTCCCTAGAACCTCTGGGTTACTGGAGGAGAATAGTCTTATCATGCAGCTTATACGGAGAGTGTTTTCTTCTTGCTCCTATGAAATAATAATTTTTTTTTTTTTTAGATTGAGTCACCATTGCCAGGCTGGAGTGCAGTGGCTTGATCTCACTGCTAATTCTCCAGCTCCCAGGTTCAAGTGATTCTCTTGCCTCAGCCTCCCAAGTAACTGGGATTACAGGCGCATACCACTTTACAAAATAGCTGATTTTTTTGTTTTCAGTAGAGACAGGCTTTTGCTATGTTGGCCAGTCTGGTCTCGAACTTGACCCCAAGTGATCTGCCTGCCTTGGCCTCCCAAAGTGCTGGGATTACAGACATGAGCCACCACACCCAGCCTGAAATAATTCTTTTCTCAGAAAAAAAACATAAAAAATAATATAACCCTTCTCCGAGATCTAACACATGTTAACACTTAACTGTATTTGTTTCAGAATTGAAAAAAATGAATTCATTGCCTCTATAATGTTTTCTTAGCTCACCAGAGGCCAGTCCCAGGGATTTGTCTTTTCTGTAGCTCTCAGACCACTCCTTTGCCCTCAGCATGCTACCTTGCCAGCCTCTTGAGAGAGCAGTGGACTGGAAGGCAAGAGTGCGGGTACTACTCCTGGCTCTGATGCCAGCTCCCAGTCCCTGCCCCTCTATCTCCATCCCCTCTGTAAAATGCAGTGGCTGTTGGCCAGGGTGCAGTGGCTCAGCATGTAATCCTAGCACTTTGGGAGGCCGAGGTGGCGGATCACCTGAGGTCAGAGTTCAAGACCAGCCTGGCCAACATGGTAAAACCCCATCTCTACTAAAAATACAGAAACTTAGCCAGGCGTTGTACTTCAAGCCTATAGTCCCAGCTATTCAGGAGGCTGAGACACAAGAATCTGCCTGATCCCGGGAGGTGGGAGATTGCAGTGTGAGCCGAGATCATGCCACTACACTCCAGCCTGGGCACAGAGTGACTCGTCTCAAAATAAAAGGCGGTTGGGGGGCCGGGAAGGCGGGTAGCAGAAATGTGATGGCCAGGGTGATGTTGGACCAGGTAACCCTTCAGAACCCTTCTAACTGGTGTCCTAGGCCCTGGCTACTCTGTGCTATGAGCATTCACTGACCACACTGACCTGGCCTCCTGTTTTCTCTTCTTCCCTTTCAGTGGCTGCAAGAGGAAGAGGACGTGGAATGGGACGTGGAAACATCTTTCAAAAGCGAAGATAATTTTCTCCGTTGAACAGACCTTTGCCCTTTTTTCTTTCAGGTTATCTGAGTTCACTGGGGTGGGTGCTTGTGTATATGTCCTAGGTATCTTTTGACATCTTTCTCTTTAGATCAGGGGAAATGTTGAAGCTAAATAAATCTGGGGGTTTTTTTGTTCTGTTTTGTTTTGTTTTTTTTCCTTTGAGAAAATAAGGACTTTGTATTCATTTGGAGTTTGCTTTGGCTAAATTTTGACACCCTGGGGGGTGTCCTGGGAGAATGCCAGTACTTTGAAATAGCACAGCTATTGATGAGAGTTTAAGCTGCTGTTCCTGGCTAGTTGCAGGTTAAGCCCCAGAAAAGTTCACCTTGGAGAAGCTCTGAGAACACACAGATTGTGTCTCTTTCATCTTCAGACATGGGCACTTAGTGTGGCACTTTGTCCAGTTAACATTTGTGGAATTGTCATCAGCTCAGCTTTAACAATGCAGGTGACCCTGTCCCTTGATAAAGTCCAATGCTCTGACCCCTGTAGTCTGGATATCCTAGTGGTTCAGCATTTGGGAAAAGTAATCAAATAATAAGAAGTAATTCAGGGCGGCTGGGCGCGGTGGCTCAAGCCTGTAATCCCAGCACTTTGGGAGGCCGAGGCGGGCGGATCACGAGGTCAGGAGATCGAGACCATCCTGGCTAACACGGTGAAACCCCGTCTCTACTAAAAACACAAAAAACTAGCCGGGCGAGGTGGCAGGCGCCTGTAGTCCCCGCTACTCGGGAGGCTGAGGCAGGAGAATGGCGTAAACCCGGGAGGCGGAGCTTGCAGTGAGCTGAGATCTGGCCACTGCACTCCAGCCCGGGCGACAGAGCAAGACTCTGTCTCAAAAAAAAAAAAAAAAAAGTAATTCAGGGCTGGGCACGGTGGGTCACACAAGTAATCCCGGCACTTTGGGAGGCCAAGGTGGGCAGATCACAAAGTCAGGAGTTTGAGACCAGCCTGGCCAATATGGTGAAACCCTGTGTCTACAAACAATACAAAAATTAGCCAGGCATGGTGGCATGCATCTGTAGTCCCAGCTACTCGGGAGGCTGAGGCAAAAGATCGCTTGAACCCAGGAGGTGGTCATTGCAGTGAGCAGAGATTGCACCACTGCACTCCAGTCTGGGTGACAGGGCGAGACTGCATCTCAAACAAACAAACAAACAAAAAAGGTAATTCAGGGGATCCTAGTGGCCAACTTCCTTGGCTCCTATACTGGCTACACAAGCAGTTTTGTGGTGATTTGGGGAAACAGATTCTTGGGAGCATCTCGGCATTGATTGACACATCCATAGTTTTTAGTGTAGAAAGGGTGACCAGCAGCTGGGCACAGTGGCTTGATTCCAGCACTCTGAGAGGCTGAGGTAGAGGATTGTTTGAGAGGAGTTCAAAACTAGCCTGCGAGACATAGTGAGACCCTGTCTCTACAAAAAAATTTAAAAATTAACTCAGCATGGTGGTGCATACCTGTAGTCCTTGCTACTTGGGAGGCTGAGGTGGGAGGATCACTTGAACCTGGGAGTGTGAGGCTGCAGTGAGCTATGGCCTTGCCACTATACTCCAGCCTGGGCAAAAGAGCAAGACTTTGTCTTTAAAGAAAGATAAGAAGTAGTATGGTGGCAGGCGCCTATAGTCCCAGCTACTCGGGAGGCTAAGGCAGGAGAATGGCGCGAACCCAGGAGGCGGAGCTTGCAGTGAGCCGAGATCGCACCACTGCACTCCAGCCTGGGCTACAGAGCGAGACTCTGTCTCAAAAAAAAAAAAAAAAAGAAGTAGTAAAGAGTATAAGATACACAGGGTGAATAATTGTGACAAAAACACAGAAATTGGAAACGCAGCCTGAAAAGATCAAATAACCAAAAACAGGTCTTGCCAGGGATTCAGTACAGTATGAGCTACAGTATGAGCATCAAGAGGAAAAGTGGTCAATTATTGGCTCTTAGAATATTGCTCGTTGAACAGATTGTTCAAGTAGTGGAAGAGGAGGAAAAAAAAATCCAGCACATTAGTTAACCTGGCATCAATTAATAAGTTTCTAATAAGCTTTGTCTTATGATACACCCTGGAGATTACAGAACTGGTATTCTTCTGAGGAATAAGCATCAGTGAGTTGGTCAGATACAATAGGCATTTAAAATAGGGCTTCAGGCCAAATATGGTGTCCCACGCCTATAATACCAGCACTTTGGGAGGTCAAGGCAGGAGGATCACTTGAACCTAGGAGTTTGAGACTAGCTTGGGCAACAAAGCAGGACCCCATCTCTATAAAAAAATTGAAAAGTAGCCTAGTACAGCTGACGCCTGCAGTCCCAGCTACCCCGGAGGTTGAGGCAGGAGGACCACGTGAGGCCAGGAGATTAAGGCTGCAGTGAGCTGTAATTGCACCACTGCACTCCAGCCTGGATGACAGCGAGGCCCTGTCTCTTAAAAAAAAACAAAACAAATGAAAGCAGTGGTTTTCAACAGCAGCTAAGGATCTTGTTAGAAATGAAGACTGCAAGCCCCACGCCTGGAGTGGGGCCCAGGAATCTGCATTTTAAACAATTCCCTTGTCCCCCAGATAAGTGATTCTTATCTTAAGTATTCTATCTTAAGTAGACCTGAAGCCATATTTTGACCCTGTACTAGAATATGTTATTTTAGTATAACCATTAATTTATCATACTTTTACAGTAAACAGTACTTTGAATAATAACACATTATACTTAATAGTAGTGAACTGCATCCTTGATCTCAAAAGTGACTTTTGATGTAGTTCACCCTGGACCCGTACAGGATCTCCAGCCTTGCAGATTCTCCATATAGTGGAAACTGGCTATAACCCTAACTAGATCCTGAAAAGTGAAGGTGGGATCAACCTAAATAACGTAGCTTTGTAAACTGTTTTATATCCTGCATCTTAGGGGGAAGAATCAGTTAACGCATATTGAAAACAATTTGTTCCGTAAGGTTTATTATGAAAAACAGTAGCCCTCCTACCCTGCCTTCACCTCACTTTCCTTGCCTCAGGATAGTCTTTCCAACTCTTGGCTGATTTGTTTGTATTTACCGCCATGTCTCAATATGAACATGTTTTCATGCTATTCCTTGATGGTTTTTTGTTTGTTTGCTTGTTTTAAGATGGTCTCACTCTCCCCCTGGCAGGAGTGCAATGGCACAATCATGGCTCACTGCAGCCTCAACCTCCCCGGGCTCAGGTGATTCTCCCACCTCAGACCCCCGAGTAGCTGGAAATACTGGTGCACACCACCATGCCCACCTAATTTCATATTTTTTTGTAGAGACAGGGTTTTGCCATGTTGCCCAGGCTGGTCTTGAACTCCTGGGCTCAAGCGATCTGCTGGCCTCGGCCTGCTGGGATTATAGGTGTGAGCCACTGCACCAGGCCACCATTATCTTTTGAATCCTCTCTTCCTCCTGCCCACCATAAATAGATTTCCTCTCACCAATCTCCCTGATATTGTAATCTGGTTAAATCATATTCAGTGTTAAATTATTAAGATGTGATTAAACTTTTTAAAAATATGGCAGTGTCATAAGAATCACAGCTGAGTCATATCATAGACTAGATTACCATGGAACTTTTCCCTGAAAGTAATCCTCTTGCATTTTTATTTTCTTAGTTTTCTATTTGTCACTAATTCATCCCCAGTCATATCTAAAGATCATGACACATCATTTATCAGTTATTATTCTTGACCCACCCCAATCTGGACTGGTTTCCCCCGTGCTTGGTGTGTCGCTGTCACCCTGGGCATTCCCCACACTGCTCCTCTGTTGGATCTGTTTTCTGTGTAACCTTTTCTTTTATCACCTTATTTTGGGGGAGTACCTGGATGTCTAAAAATGTGCTCACACTTGATTTGATTGGGTATGAAATTCTATGTTGGAATCAGTATCCTTCAGAATTTTGAAGGTGTGGTTACTTTGTCATCTAGCATTGCTATAGAGAAGTCTGAAGTGATTTTGAGTCCGGATCCTTTTTATATGACTTTTTTTTTCCCCTTCTGTCACCAGTGTTCCAAAATTTTACAATATGATGTATTAATACCTGCCTTGGTGAAGGTCTGTTTCCATGCCAGTCCCCTTTCCAAGTGGACTCTTGTCCTTAATTTCTGGGAAACTTTCTTGAATTCTTTGTCAGTGATTTTCTTCCTTAGGTTGTCTGTGGTTTTTCTTTTTTATTTTTTTAAGACTGAGTTTCACTCCTGTTACTCAGGCTGGAATGCAATGGCACCATCTAAGCTCACTGCAACCTTTGCCTTCCGTGTTCAAGCAATTCTCCTGCCTAAGCAATTCTCCTGCCTCAGCGATTCTCCTGCCTCAGCCTCCCAAGTAACTGGGATTACAGACACCTGCCCCCACACCCGGCTAATTTTTTGTATTTTTAGTAGAGGTAGGGTTTCACCATGTTGGTCAAGCTGGTCTCGAACTTGTGACCTCAGGTGATCCACTCGCCTTGGCCTCCCAAAGTGCTGGGATTACAGGTGTGAGCTACCATGCCCCACTGTCTGTGGTTTTTCTTTCTGGAATTTCTGCTACTCAGATGGTGGACCCAGAATTACCTCTTCTTGTATACCCCAACCCCAATTGTCTTATCTTTTGATCATAATTTATGGAGGATTACTCCAAGCTGGTTCTCTGATTGTTCCTTTATTTATTTAGATATATACAGACAGTACCTTGTTCCTTGTTGGAACATCTTTGAGGATATTAATATGCTCTGTAGAAGCTTTCATCTCCCTGCATATGTCTTTCCGCTTTCTGTTTCTTCGGTTTAATCTTTCATGTTACAGACTTTCTTTAACTGCCTGGCAATCATTGGTAATCTTGCTTATATTTAAGAGTGGAGTATTAAAAATAATTTGTGTTTGTAAGGTGATCTCATTGAGCTTCTTTGGGGAAATCCCCAGTGTCTATATTTCTAGAATTTTGCTCTGGGCTGGACAGGATCTCTTGGAGAAACTTCTGGTCTCACATCAGGAGGGTTTACTCTGAGCTGATGGATTGAGAGCTCTGTTGGGGAAGAGAGCTGCGAGTTTCAGCATTCTAGTATGTCCACATTCAGTTCATTCATCCTCTAGGTTTCTGAGAGGGCTCCTAGTCCAGAAACTTTCTAACCCCCTCTGGAGAATAAGCTTCCAACTTTTTTGCCAAGATTGGGGAAGTCAAGTCATGTGGAAATATGAATATTTAAGCATGTTTTTGCTTTTTTTCTTTGAAAATATGTTACTTTAAAATGAAGAATAAGGCTGGGGGTGGTGGCTTATGCCTGTAATCCCAGCACTTTGGAAGGCTGAGGTGGGCAGATCACCTGAAGTCAGGCGTTCAAGACCAGCATGGCCGACATGACAAAACGCCATCTCTACTAAAAATACAGAAATTAGCTGGGTGCAGTGGCACATGCCTGTAATCTCAGTTACTGGGGAGGCTGAGGCAGGAGAATTGCTTAAACCCAGGAGGTGGAGGTTGCAGTGAGCCGAGATCGCACCACTGCACTCCAGCTTGGGCAATAGAGCAGGACTCTGTCTCAAAAAGAAAAAAAAAAGAACTCGAATTTAAAGAAGGTATAGACTAAAGGATGATGTCATAAAGGTAATTACACCCGTATTTAACATGAATTCTGGGCAGGGCACGGTGGCTCACGCCTGTAATCCCAGCACTTTGGGAAGCCGAGGCAGGTGGATCACGAGGTTAGGAGTTCAAGACCAGCCTGGCCAAGATGATGAAACCCTGTCTCTACGAAAAATACAAAAATTAGCCAGGTGTGGGGGCAGGTGCCTGCAATCCCAGCTACTCAGGAGGCTGAGGCAGAGAATTGCTTTAACCCAGGAGGCGGAGCTTGCAGTGAGCCGAGATTGTGCCACTGCACTCCAACCTGGGTGACAGAGCAAGACTCCATCTCAAAAAGAAAAAGATAAAGACATGAATTCTGGTTCTGAGTGCCACCATGACCACCTCTCCCAGCCTCTGGTTGGTTATCTGTACAAGGGTGGATGTGGACTCACTTAACTGATACTATCCCAGCTTCTACACCGGTAGAACCATAACTTTAAAAAACTATCAAAATAAAGCATACAGGAGTTTTTCTGCCACTAGCCAAGATGAAAGTAATTGATTTATCATTGTGCCTGAAAAAAACACACACAAAATAATATGAAACAATGGTTTTGGCCGGGCGCGGTGGCTCAAGCCTGTAATCCCAGCACTTTGGGAGGCCGAGGCGGGTGGATCACGAGGTCAGGAGATCAAGACCATCCTGGCTAACATGGTGGAACCCCGTCTCTACTAAAAATACAAAAAACTAGCCGGGCGTAGTGGCGGGCGCCTATAGTCCCAGCTGCTCGGAGGCTGAGGCGGGAGAATGGCGTGAACCCAGGTGGCGGAGCTTGCAGTGAGCCGAGATCGCGCCACTGCACTCCAGCCTGGGCGACACAGCGAGACTCTGTCTCAAAAAAAAAAGAAACAATGGTTTTCAAGACATCAGATGTTGAAGGAGAATAATCCCTGGGAAAGGAGAAATAAATAAGTGGAGTTGTACAATTGTCCCAGCTCACTGCCTTACAAGAGTCTCCAAGCTGTGGCACAGGGAAGGGGACTGAAGCTGACCTACCAGCCTGCCTGCATTGAGAAATGAGAGCTAAGAGTTCAGAGAAGCCACCCAGCAGCTAGAATTATAGGACAGAATACCAGAGAAGAAAGTCGCATGGAGAACCCAAGAGATCTGCAGCGGGTCCCTTTTGAATATTCAGCAGAATACTGATCAGCACACCAATGTGAGGAAGTTAACAGGCTGGGGAAGACCCATAAAGAATAGGAACAGTGCTGGGCATCATGCTGGGCTGAGAAGAAACCTTTTCCTACCAGACAAAAAATTCACAGGATATGGAGTACAGTGTTGTTTTAAGATGTACCATATCTGATTTTGTTTTAATCAAGTATAGTAAGACCCGGAGACAGCTTCCTTGAAAGAATGTATTACAGTTCTCAAAGAAGGGGGCAAACCACGTTACATGGGCCTTATGGGGAAACACCAGCCTGAGTCAGGAGGCTGAAAGAGCAATGGTAGAGCAATATCCAGAGCCTTTATTGTAGTTTTCTCATGAAGGAATGAGTGAGGCAGAGTAGGCAAGTTTGAGCAAGTTTAGGATTGGATAGTCTGAATAATTTCAACTGGTTTATAAGTGGTCTCTTGTCAAGTACCTCACCCTGAGGTGATTGAGGGCAAAGGAAATACTGGCTTAGTGTATGAGAATTAGATAAAGGAGGCAGTTGGGGGTATGGATTTTGGATTGGTTTGTGTATGAAAGACGCTGCCAGCAGTTGTTATCTCTAGGAATTAGCTAACCCTAGGAGGAGCAGCCTCCAGGATTAGCAAGGCCCAAGATACCAAAGCAACATAAAACAGAAAACAAAAGGCATGATTAATACAAATATCCAGGAAGGTCTTGCCTGGTAAATGAGGAATAATTAGCCCAAGACAGCACCGGACCTACCTAACAAGTCATAAAAACAACACATTAAAACATCAAACTGTTTTTTCGAACCAATTAAATATATCTGAGAACAAGACTCAAAAAGATTTATAGGAATATAAAAATGTCCAGTACCCTACACAGTAAAATTCATTATGTCTGGCATCCAGTCAGAGATTACGAGGCATACAAAGATGCAGGAAAGCACAGCACATAATGAGATTAATCAAGAGATCCAAAACTACACAGATGTTAGCATTAGCAAAGAAGGACATTAAAAGTTATAACTATATTTTAAAAGGTGAGCAGATTTTAAAAGAAGACTCCCTGATTTCAAGAATTATTATAGAGCTGTACTCATCAAAACAGTGTGGTATTTCATCAAGTGAAGCAAATAGATCAAAGGAACAGAGAAAGAGTCTGAAAACAAATCCACACATGTATACAAAATGAGTTTTTTCAAAGGCACAAAGGTAATGTACTGGAGAAAGGATAGCATTTTCAACAAATGGTGCCAGAACAATTGGATATCCATATGCAAAAATCCCCCAAAACTTGGGTCTATACCTCATACCATACAAAAAAATTAATTCCAAATGGATCATCAACCTTAAAACTAAAACTATAAAACTTCTAGAAAAAATATAACCCTAAACCTTGGGTTAAGCAAAAATGTAGATATAATACCAAAGTACCATCCATGAAAGATGAAACATATTAGACCACCAAAATAAAAAACTGCTTTCCAAAGACACTGTTAAGACAAAAGACCGGCCGGGCGCGGTGGCTCAAGCCTGTAATCCCAGCACATTGGGAGGCCGAGACGGGTGGATCACGAGGTCAGGAGATCGAGACCATCCTGGCTAAAACGGCAAAACCCCGTCTCTACTAAAAAAATACAAAAAACTAGCCGGGTGAGTTGGCGGGCGCCTGTAATCCCAG